ATACAATTAATATTGTTTAATTTACAGTAGACGACATGGACGTGCCGCATATGCATCCCGGACCTGTCTCCGATAAGCTATTAGTGTTACAGGGCGATCATAGGTCCGACTACGTATGGGAGGGAGAGTTACTGGCCCAGAATCTCCGCGCCAGGAGAGTGGACGACATATGGGATTTTATGAAAGACAGAGATCTCCATCCCCGTGTAGTCCAGCGCCTGCGGGATACGGGCTTCTACAGGATTTTGGAGATCGGGCGGCTGCAGCTCGACTGGTCTTTGATCACGGCCCTAATAGAGCGGTGGCGACCGGAGACGCACACTTTCCACCTGCCCATTGGCGAGGCCACCATTACGCTGCAGGACGTGGAGGTTTTATATGGGATGCTTGTTGATGGACTACCTGTTGCACTGCCTCAGGCCATAAGAGAGATGACGCGTGGGCAGTATTTGGACATGCTGCAGCAACTTACTGATTTCAGGCCACATGATGAGACTGCACACTCAGGGGCCAGTCGCGTGAGTTTGACAGTTATTCGACAGCATTTGGAGATATTGCACCCCGACATCACCGGGGAGACAGATGATATGCATATTCACCGGTATACGAGGTTGTTGCTGCTCCTTCTATTGGGGGGGAGGGGGTCTTGTTCCCGAACACTTCGGGGAACCTAGTCAGCTTGCGATTTATATAGCGCGGTTAAATACTACGTTATGTGAATATATATAGCGCGGTTAAATACTATGTTATGTGTATTGTCTTGTCGAACTGAAAAGTTGTCCGTCTGAGAAAAAGTTATTTTGTATCCATAATCATCTTTAACGCGCAAAGCATAGCGCGGTTAAATACTACGTTATGTGAATATATATAGAGCGGTTAAATACTACGTTATGTGTATTGTCTTGTCGAACTGAAAAGCTACCCGTCTGAGAAAAAGTTATTTTGTATTTGTAATCATCTTTAACACGCAAAGCATGGCGCGGTTAAATACTACGTTAGGTGAATATATATAGCGCGGTTAAATACTACGTTATATGTATTATCTTGTCGAACTGAAAAGCTGTCCGTCTGAAAAAAAAGTTGCCCTGGTACCAATGACGTTGCAGCTGCAGCCCTTTCAACAAACCTCTCCGCCATCTGCTTGAACGACATCCATACCATGGCAGTGACAGGCAATCCTCTTGCCGACTTCAATAACCCGTTGAAAGACTATGACATGTTTGTAGTTAGAATTCCCCATCTTCTTCCACCATCCGCATGTAAAGTCTAGTTGTGAAGCTCATGTCGCATCAACCAATGACATGCTCGCTCGTCTTCCTGCCTCATAGATTCCATGTGCCTCCGAAATTTATGCTCTTAGTGGTCTGTTGCTGCCATCCATATCAAATCATGCAGATCCTTGTTGGGATGTGCCTTCTAGAAATTGGCCTTAAAGTGCCTCACACAGTAACGTTGGTAGGCATAAGGTTCTTGCCATGCAGGCAAGTTCTCTACAGAACTTAAGATACCACCATGCCGATCAGATATTAGACAAATGTCGGAACGCTGTTTGATAACGTGCTCTTTCAAATGGTTCAAAAACAGCGTCCACGTCTCTTGGCTTTCATTGGCACAAATAGCAAAAGCTAGAGGACATATTTATCCATTAGCATCTACTGCAACGGCTATCAACAGCTTGATATCATACTTTCCATAGACATGAGTGTCGTCTATGGATATTACCGGCTGACAAAGCAAAAAACCATCAATTGTTGGTTTAAATGCCTAGAACACGTAATTGAATATATATTCTGATTTTTCCGGACTCTGCTCAAGCTTCTATTCAACAACCGTCCCAGGGTTAAAGTGTTGCAGTGCGGCCATATACTTGGGTAGAGTTGCAAATGACTTATCCCAGTTACCATAAACAATTTCAAACGCACGTTTGTGCCCGAGAAATGCCTTTCTTTTGGTAATGGTATGGTCATATTCTTGGTGGACTGATGTAATGCACTCTTTGATTTTATACCTTATGGATGCTTCAAGGTGTGGAATAAGGACAAGAGAAATCAAGTCAATATCCAAGTTGTAGTGATTCCCATTGAATGTGTCCATTTCACATCCGTGGGTGGGAATGTATTTACCCACTTGCCACAAACCTGTTTTCTTCTTGCTCGCACGTAGCATCCAATGACAACCCGTAAACCATCTGCGGCAAACAACCTTGTATACCTTCGGAGTTGACTCCCATACCGTCATCTCACGACACTCTTTTACGTTGTGTATTTTCGCCGCCCTACTTAGGCGCGCTTTATCGGGAAAAAGCATGCCCTTTGCCAGCACCGTTGGTCTAGAAACATCCCACATTGCTGTCCGAATTTCATCAAAATCCCTTGTGAGAGCATCCATATCCGGCATACTTGGCAAGTTATCAAGGTAGGGAATCTTCCTTGAATGAAACAGCACTTGGGACTCGTATACTCTTGGTCTAACGAGGGGTAGAGCATACTCCCTCGTCAAATCAGGTCCTTCATTCTCTTCCTCCTCGTCACCATCCTCACGAGGGAAGGGTGTGTCGTCTCCGGAATCATCGGCATTGTTGTCATAATCACTGTTCTCTTCTTCACTTTGTGCATCTGCTAGATCCCGATTTAATATGTCGTCTTCGGTCAATTGAGTGAGGACAGATGGTTCAACTTGCTCGTTTTCACTGCACAAACAACAAAATAATAAGCTACTGAAATTAATAAATACTTTCCATATAGTTGTATCACTTCACTTACAAGTCATAACGTGTTGACATTCCTTGATGAAAATTATCCTGTTGGTGATGACTCCCGGATGGACCACCATGATCCAATATACCAGAACTACGCATATTCCAACTGGGCGTGGGTTCATAACTTGTAAAAGTCATATCTGGCCGGTACCCCCTGTGGAATATATGAGTGTTAATACAAACTCAATACAACAAAAATATACATCGGAACACTAAGTAAAATTGAAGTTTACCACTCGTCTTGTAGATTATGCAAAGCAGGAGAGAAATTATTTTCTCGCTCCTTATTCGCCCGTGGTGATAAGTTTAAATGAGGGCAAACTCTTTCATCCGGAACCTGTCCGACAAAAACTGCTCCAGAATAACCACCCGATGACTGAGGGTTATCCCTATTATGCGCAACCTCATTATTGCGAACGTCTTCGACCTTGACGTACATTTCCAATATTTTTATCACAAGAAATTTTCGGTATTCATCCAGAGTCCTAAAAAAATCTCTCAAAGTTTCATCATCGTCGATGTTAAACTCAGTGTAACAAGCAACCCCTTGCGGAGTGATGCAATACGGATATCTTCTGATTACTTTAAGGTTCACCGAACGTTTCCTCACACTCATTTTATTACATAATAATGATACCAATCTATCGTACTCCATTGTAAGTGGCAACTTAACATGACACTGTGGAGATAAACTATAGCTCACAGAGTTATTCGCCAACACAACCTCACCCCCTAATATAATGAAACCCTTACTTTTCGCTCTTCACACATTATGAAAAAATGCTTGAGAATTTAACAAGAAGAAAAATTTGAACGAGAGTTAGGAATATTTTTGAATGGATTTTTGTAAAATTCTAACGTCTTTAAATAAGGCAATGCGTAGCTCGGTGGGCTGGAAGTTTTTAGGTATAGCGCTCTTTTAAAGAGCGCTATACCCATTTGAATTATTGTTATGTCAGTTAAACGCATGAGACTTATTAGTGGGCCCACAAAACAGGTATAACGCGATTTACAATGATGTTATATATAAAAATATTACTCTTTTTTTTAAACACACATTTTCGTCACATATGTCCAAAAGAACCACAAATGGGTTCTGGACTCCACTCTATGTTGCTCTTTTCCCCTATTTACTTATCTGCATTGATAAGAGTTGTATTATCCCAACACAACAGACATCTCAAATATTTCTAACTTCTCGATTAAACATTGAGTGCGAAACAAGCGTGGAGCTAGAGTTTGGTTACAGTTTGGTTGAGTTCAGTAACTTTGGTCCAAATAACGTATGTATTTTAATTAATTTAATAAATATATATAAATTATTTATTTAAAATCTAGTAATTTAAAGACTAGAATCTCAAATCCCTAAACTTTAAATCCTAAACGATACAAAAAAGGTGAAGGAATGCAATTGGAGAAAAGAAGGATAAAAGTTGGAATATACAAGTTGGGATGCACCTATTTCTAAGGCAATGTAAATTTCACTCAATCGCTTTGACTTTTTGGAACAATGTCACCTTCACCTTTGGATGAGACTAAGCTATTATTTAGACATAGTTGAAACTTAAAAAAGAATTTTTGAAATTATATTAAAAAATAAATTTTAAAAGTTAAAATTGTGTTTGAATATATATTTTATTTGAAAAAAATTAAAGTTTTATGAGTGAAAGAAAAAATTTCACCCAGAAACTGCCCTAAACCAATTTTTGGGGGAATTGAAATTTCTTTTTAATTCTTTTTAAAGACTGATCAAATTCCAGGAACAAACAATGTTTTCAATTTGTTTATGAAATAAAGTAGCCAAAATCTATGTCTAAACCGGTGGTAAGACAAGCACCCTTGATTTCAAAATCAATGGCCGGTAATTGTTGGAATTGTCAAAAGACTAGGGAAAAAGACCCAAAATTATTATGGGTTTTAAAACTATTTTTTTCGACAATTTAGAAATTATGGTATAGTGTTGTATAGAAATTGAAAAATAGCGCAGATTTTGTTTGAGTTCAAATTCTTTACTATAATTTTTTTTTACACAGGCAAGATATCTATGAATAATCTTCCACAAAAGGTAAATATATAATCTTAAAAATAACCCAAATTTTGTTACAATATGTAAATTTGACCTTATAGTATAGTAATTTTTTTTACTTGTCAATATTCTTAAATATTATTACCACTACCAAAAAATTTGAATTCGGACAGCCGCCAAAAACTTCTCCTCTATCATCTCCATCTCAAAGTCCACCTCACTCTCACTCTCACTCTCTCCTACACACACACACACACACACACACACAGTGCTCTGACAACCAAGAAATGATCTTTTCTCTGTCTTAAACTCAAAACGTTAATCACTCCAAAAAAAAGAACAACATATCAATCCCATATAATGGCTTCAATCAAGCCATCTTCTCGCTATGCCGATGCCACTTTTTCTTCCATAGATTCTTCCCCCTCTTCCTCTACCGATCTAACTCCTCAAACCCACAACCACCGCAATCACCACCCCTCTAATATCTCCTCACGCGCTGTCACGCGCCCTCAAGCTCCATCCACTACGCGCCACAATTTAGGCTCTTTAGTCAAGAAATTCGTGGAGCACAAATCCGGGTCATCATCTTCTAAATTAAATCAGAAAGGAGAATTAAAACTGGCGGATTTTGTAGCAGAAGATTTGAAGAAGACGGCGAAAAGGGGTACTGGTTTGAGTGCTTTGCATAAGAAATTATTTAAAGGAGTGAAAAGAGAAGAAGGTAGTGAGAAGAAAAAGGCGTTGATTGAAGTCAAAGGGAATACTAGGACTTTAGCTATGGTGCTTAGAAGTGAGAGGGAGCTGTTGAGTATGAATAAGGAGCAGGAGAATCAGATTGTTGAGCTTAAATTGATGCTTGAGGAGAAAAACATAGAGGTATGTTCTTAAATTGTGTAATTTGCTTAATGCTAGAATTCCATTAGAATCCACTTTAGTCTTAATTTTTCCCTAAAAATTGATTTCTTTTTGCTCAAGAATAGTGATAAGTGTTTTAAATGAGGGTGGTGTTTGGCCCCAACTCGAAGGAGAGCCTTGAAGTAATTGGTAAAGTTGTTGTCATGTTACCTGAGGTCACGGGTTCAAGCCGTTTAAATAGCCTCTTGCAGAAATGCAAGTTAAGGCTACCTACAATAGACCCTTATGGTCTAGTCCTTCCTCAGACCCGCGCATATCGAGAGCTTAGCGTATCGAGCTGACTTTTGTTTGGCCCCAACTCACGAGCACCTTGACTATTCCATGTGGTACTCCTACTGAATTTTTACGGGACGTTCACATGTTTTACATTAATAATTGGATGTTAACTTGCAGTGAAATAATTTGACCAACAATGTGGGGTTTTATTAAAAGTTGCATCTTTTTAGATTATGTAGGGATTAAATGTGAGGAAACTCTCAAAAAGTAGTATTAGGTGATAGGTTATAAGGATAATTAGCACATGTGCAGATCTTTTGGTTCTTTAGTGAAAGGAATTTGGTGTTAGAACAATTGGTTTGATAACTAGCTTTCTTTTAGTGTATGCTTCTGCTAAAATGGTATTGATGTCTTTGGTTGTTGTAGTTGTTAATTGCATACTGTGGGAATTTAGAAATGCTCTTATTGAAGATGGAACATTAGTTGTCAAAAATGTGGGGGTGGATGACATTACAATACATGACATAGAGGGGCGGGCCCATTACTCACCTCGTTTCAGATCGTGCGCCACTGACCCTTAGCGATTTTTCTCGGTTATAAGAAAAATATTATGGCACATTGTTTATAGATGTGGAGTTGCAAGCTGCATATCTAATTGAATATGCCTATATATGTTAGCATTAGATGGAAGGGGAGCTTTAGCGTAACTGGTAAAGTTGTTGCCATGTGACCAGGAGGTCACGGGTTCGAGCTGTGGAAACAACCTCTTGCAGAAATGTAGGGTAAGGTTGCGTACAATAGACCCTTGTGGTCTGACCCTTCCCAGACCCCGCGTATCGCGGGAGCTTTGTGCACCGGGCCGCCCTTTTTTTAATGTTAGTATTAGATTACAGGATCCAACAACCATGATTGGCTTTTTATTTATCTGTTTCTTTTGTTTTTCTTGTATGAGTCTTGGAGTTGAACTAGAAAGAAAAGACAATTAAAAATTGTGTCCCTTTCATCTCCAACAACTGGAAATTGGAAGGTGGATTTAATATCTTGTTGCCGCATTATGACTTGAAGATTATATAGTTCTGTGATCTCATTTTCTAGTTTATTTACAAATGATAACAGGTTGAGAAGTTAAAGGATTTGTGTTTGAAGCAGAGGGAAGAGATAAAGTCACTGAAAAACTCCATATTATTCCCAGATGTTATGAATTCTCAACTTCAGGAAGTTTTGGAAAAGCAAGGCTCAGAACTCAAGCAGGCAAAGCAGCTTATACCAAATCTCCAAAGGCAGGTCACTTCTCTTACAGGCCAACTACAGTGCCTTGCTGTTGATCTTGCCGAGGTAACCTTCAGCTTAAGATGATCACAGACTTTTTACACTGCTTAACCACAAAGGCAAATTAGCAAAATTCGCTATGATGTGAAAATTTAGGTGTACTAGTGTGCATAGTCAGCAATTAAAGTTCAATACTGCTATATTACTGTTCTTTATTGAGCCGAGGGTCTATCAGAAACAACCTCTCTACCTTCCCAGGATAGGGGTCTCTACCTTCCCAGGATAGGGGTAAGGTCTGCGTACATACTACCCTCGCCAGACCCCTTTGTGGGATTCAACTGGGTTGTTGTTGTTCTACTGCTGTATTACTGATTGGAGAAATTTTTTATATACGAACCTTGTTAAAATGTTTTTCCACGTTCCTCCTTTTGCATTGGTTAAACGTCTAGTAGGTATGCAGATTTTTTTTCCACCACAGTATTAGATGGAAGTCAAATAACACTTCAATCTCTTAATGTGGTCAAGCTATGTTCTTTACAACTAGACTGAGGAATTATTTACATCATTGATGAGTTCAAATCATCATATTGCTTATTTATCCATTTTGTTTGGAGGTAACAAAGGCGTCATATCCTGTCGAATCCATTTCTGCAAATGACTGATTTATATATTTCATACAGGTTAAGGCAGATAAGTACTCTATAAGAGGGTGTTATGATTCTCTTAGTAGCTCCCCAAGGACACCAGATTACGATCAAGAACAAGCAGCGTATTCTCTGGTTAGTAAGTTTTAACGATAAGCTGATCTAGAAAATGTGAAACAAAGATGGTGGCAAACGAACAATAATGATATCTTGCATAATAATTGGACATACACTACAATGTTTCTGCTCCAAGTTAGGATTTTATGTTTCAAGCTTAAGCTTCAGAGAGAGAGTTAACTAAGTTTTTCTTCCTCTAGGAATTCAGTTCTGAACCCACAATTCCCGGAAGTCCAGATGACATGCTTCTCAAGGACTTAAATCCGTGCTTAACACCTTATTCTACCAAGACGAAGTCCAAGGTAAGTGTCTCATGATCCAAAGAAAGCCGCATGAATTGGTGTGTACTATTTGAAGCTTCGACGAGTACCCCCTTAGTATTAATAATTTGATTAAGTAACAACAACAATAAACCTAGTGTAATCCTCCAGGTGGGGTCTAGGGAGGGTTATGTGTACGCAGACCTTACCCCTATCTTATGAAGGCAGAGAGATTGTTTCCAATAGACAATAATAATAATCTGATTAAGTACCTCTATTAATGTGGTTTTTTCTTGTGTCCAAAAGGGAACCTTTCAAAGTTATAGCTTCATTCGATATATATTGCATACATGTCAACCACCAAGGTTAAAAATCCTGAATCTGCAGTCCTTTGAAGTTTGAAGTATGATTTCGAAACATGTTCAGTTCTTGCCAAGATGAACTGTATTTTGACATCTCAATGTGATTTTCTTTTAGGAATTTGAGTTCAATTCTCCAGATGATAAGAACTTGCTTAAAAACAATATACAAGTGTACTATGAGACTAGCTACAGCTACAATTCTGGTGCAAGCAAAGTATCGAAAAGTTCAGAGTGTTGTCAACGTTCAAAGGAAGCGAAAAGTTCAGTTCGTGCAGCTCGCAGATCTGATGAAAGTAAATACACATACAGAAAGCAGATCCATAATAAGTTCTAAGTTATCCTTTATCCTCAAGATGCTTCTAAGGCTCAAATTATTATTGGTGAATGCCTAGTAGCAGAGCCAACAGGTACTCAACTTCCAATATTATGTAGAAAACAATCCTCTTAAGCTTAGC